ACATCTGTCAAGAGGAGTATGCAGCAGGGCGTTCGCACACACGTCCTGCTGGTTGCTAGCCAGGAATGAAGGCATGGCAGACACGACAGAAACCACTGTATCGGCGTTATAAAGGTCCATTATACGGATTGATTCCTCCATCCTCTACGCTACTACAAGCCAATAATGACAGGGGGTTGTAGCCCTTGATGAACAAACCGATTGCAACAGCACTCGTCTTTGTAGGGAGCTTTTCCGGATTCCTCATACTGTCCAGTTCGACAAGACCGGAATTGTGCCAGTGTTTTGGGCTTCATCCTTGCCAGCGATCCCCTCCAGCAGCAACAGAGCAATTTCCTCGTGACCATTATCTAACGCCATGGACAGCGGAGTTGCGCCATTCTCTGCAGTCTTGTCCTTGTCAGCATTTGCCTCCAGCAGCAACCGAGCGACTTCCAAGTGACCATTGTGTGACGCCATGAACAGGGGAGTTGCACCATTCTTTGCAGCCTGATCCTTAGCAGCGTTACGCTCCAGCAGCAACTGAGCGACTTCCAAGTGACCATTCATTGACGCCATGATGAGCGGAGTTGCACCTTTGTTGTGGGCCTTATCCTTGTCAGCGTTCGCCTCCAGCAGCAACCGAACGACTTCAAAGTGACCGTCTTGTGATGCAACGATCAGCGGAGTTGCGCCATTCTCTGCAGCTTTGTCCTTGTCGGCGTTCGCCTCCAGCAGCAACCGAGCGACTTCCAAGTGACCCTTCTGTGACGCCATGATCAACGGAGTTGCGCCATCATTCTTGGCCTTATCCTTATCAGCCTTCGCCTTTAGCAGCAACCGAGCGATTTCCAAGTGACCTTTCTGCGACGCCAAGAACAGCGGAGTTGCGCCATCAGTTTTGGCCTTATCCTTGTCAGCGTTCGCCTCCAGCAGCAACCGAGCAACTGCCAAGTGGCCTTGCTGTGACGCCACGAACAGTGGACTTGCACTATTGTTGTTGCCCTTATCCTTGTCAGCCTTCGCCTCCAGCAGCAACCGAACGATTTCCAAGTGACCCTTCTGCGATGCCACGAACAGCGGAGTTGCGCCATCATTCTTGGCCTTATCTTTGTCAGCGTTCCCCTCCAGCAGCAACTCAGCAACTGCCAAGTGGCGATCCTGTGACGCCACGAACAGCGGAGTTGCGCCATCGTTCTTGGCCTTGTCCTTATCAGCATTCGCCTCCAGAAGCAACCGAGCGACCTCCAGGTGACCATTCTGCGACGCCATGATGAGCGGAGTTGAGCCATTGTATATGAACGCCCTATCTTTGTCAGCATTGGCCTCGAGAAGCAAGCGGGCAGCCTGGGTATGGCCTTGTCCACAGGCAACATGCAAAGCAGGTGGCAGTCCTCCGGCTTCCAAATCTGGATCCTGTGGCCTCTGCAAGAGCTGCTCCATTGCTTGGATGTCGTTACCGTGTGCGGCGTCTCGAAGGTGCCGGATTTGCTCCTCGAAGCTCGCTTCAAACTGTTGCAATATGAGCTGGACATCTGTTGGCCCTGTGAACACAAAATCATCCGACAACATGTGACCATCCAGAAGCAGCAGCCGTTGCTTGAAGCGGGAATGCCCGCTGACACGCTGCACATGGCACTTGAGTGCTCGTGCCCTGTCCGGCCGCTCACTTTCGGGGGCCATCGCCACAAACTCCTCAAATCCAATCGCAAAGACTTCTTCGCCCGAAGCCTTCAACACTCGCAACATGCCGCCGAGTGATGGCGAAAGCTTAGAGATGGGCCGCTCTTCCTATGAGAATTTTTGTGCTTTCAGTAATTTGGAAGACTGACGTGAACGCCCTAAGCCGACGGTAGGAACCCCAAATAGTTACCAGTATCTTGTTCGGGTCTAGTTAAAGTACCTATACCAAATGTCGAAACAGAACCATATTCCACAATGTTGGCATGCGTTTAGGCCTCTGCACGGTAAACCGTTACAATGACAACGACTGCGATGAGTTAGAATACCACGAATAAAAGATGTCTTCTAAGAAAAGTCAAAGAAAGGAGCTACCATCAAGTTTGGCACGTGCAAAACAAGTACGAATAAAAACATGTATCACAAGAATGGTAGCTGTAGTAGTCTTCCGAACAAATCTAGGTTCAAGGAATAAAAAAGCAACAGCACCAATAATGCTGCATAAGCCAGATATGCTTACAGCAATGGGTCCCACAGCTCAAAACATGTGGCCGATTCTCAAAAT